TGGGTATCTACTCGTAGAAGTGCTAGTGTACTTCATGAGCCGGCAATAACCATCTCCCTGGAAAAAGATCAGAGGTTCGTCATACCCGGCTGCCGGTATGGTGAAGAAGTGGCGGCAAGGAAGCTAGAAAAGTGGGGCCATGTCCGTGACATACGACAATATCTGGCGTACGTACTTGAACAATCGCTCCACATAGAGTGAAGATAACAACCATCTCGACTTGTCACGTGAAGCACTGTGGAATTCTTTTAGAATCGATACACGTCTAGGAAAAGACTAAATCATCTCTTAACAGCTTAACCTGCACAAGAACTAATCGAAGTGTGGCGTTTCGGTGGGCTTCTGCATCTTCCTGAGCATGAAGGTCTGCGATCTACTGCAAGACAAACATGACATACCCAGACTAGAATGATCTTTCTCGTCATCATCGAGGTTTGCTCGTAGGCAGACGTTTGCGTCTGGAGCCCAAGCCGAGGCATTGTTCACATGATGGAGCTGTCCAGCCCTGCCTTGTGCGTCCCAACGTGCACTGAATCAGTACATATGGTCCAGACGCAGATCTAAAAAATTCATCCTCAAGTACACCAATCCTGACCGCAGAAGAGTGGTCACTACAGACTTCGATTGGTGTGACGACGCGAAATCAACGGTCAGTAACTGTTCGCATGATTGAATGCCCACTTCTGGTCACTGGCGAGTACAATGATGAACGACCCAGCATGCTTCGAGACCTTCACAGGTAATGCCTTCGATAGTTTCTTTAAGGCAGGCCACATCGTGATATTGAAGAAACAGCCAACCGTCGAGTTGTGCCGGCACGTGGCGCAGCAGGTCGTTGCCGTCAAATAAGCATGTTATCATTACCAAGTGGCAGCTTTTCCATGCTCTGCCCCCGAAAATGCGTACATGCAACCCGGGTCAGATAGAGAGTCTCTCCTGTTGTAGTCTACACGTTTCATTGCCAACACTCCGATCTTGGTACAGGACGACGGTGCACCTAATACTAACACTTCGTTGTCTGAGTACTCAAAGTCCTCTCAGATTACAATGACAAGAAGTCGTTATTCAGCTGCGTGTTGTTCTCCTTGACAGGTGTGGACGTCCCCGAAGCGACTGCCGGATCTCTCTCATATGTAACGAATCATAGCGAAGCATTTTGTGTCACCAGTACATAGTAGCCTAGCGCGATTCCTCATTTTCGGCCCCCAAAGCTGACTCGAGCTCGGACTCAACATAATAAACAGTTTGTATGTAAGATGACGTCACGCTTCTGCCTAGTGTTCACAGGAGATGTCTTCGACATGAGCTTGACTCTGCCAGCAAAGTTCATAATATCATTGCCGCCACTACGTGCCTGAGACTCACGCAAAATGACCGCCACTCGCGCTATACGTCGTCAGACTGTGCCCGGACAAGAGCTGACCACATTACCGTTCGCCTTCCTTTGAAATCTCGCTGGCCTTGCTGACACCAGTAGCAATCATAGCGCAACCGCGAGGCTCTTAGACTCTGAGCCCATGGCGATGATACCCCAGTCTGTCTCGACCCGACGCCAAAACTCAAAGTTCCGCGACTTCCTAAGACATGTTCGACTGCTACTCCCGGCGTCTTTCCTTGGCCACACCTTGCCCTGGAAGACAACGTTCGAGCAACGCAAAGTTGCCGTGTACCAGAGCCGACGCATGGCAAGCTTGAATAGTCTGCTTCATGTCATTCCACTTGCTGTCGCTGGGACCCTTCTGGGCCTTCACTGGTCGAAATACTGGGTAGGAGTCTCAGACGACGCGCCGTCACTGCAATTCGCAGCCAAAGTCCACGAATTGCTCATGCAAGCATCGCTTGTCGACGTTCTCCTCTAAGTCATACGAAGCCAAGCACTCAACGGGTATCTGCCATTAGGTGCACTTGCAGGGGCTGCACAGGCACCCCAACTATCCTATCTTTGGTCACTGGATTTCTTCTCCGCTCTTGTGGCGCCAAGCAGGGCTTTCGCATTACGACACAAATTTATTTTCATATCATCGACATGTGCGCTACTATTCATGACTGGAGTTGTAGGGCCCTCATCTGCAATTTTGATGATATCACGGCCTGGTATGACGCATGTGCAAAGCACCACAACCCGATACCTAAGCGTCTCGGAGGCTGATTTGTTTCCTACTCAAATCGATAAGACAAATCGATTGAACCTGTAAGTAAGTAATATTCTGCCTTTGGAGAGATACCTAACGGTCATCTCTTACAGTTCACTAGACGCCGACTTTTATGACACGACTAGACTGGATTACAAATTTGACCGTAATGGTGCAGTACGATCAAAAAACTTCTGGCCAACTGAGCTAAGCAATAATATCCATAGACTCCTTCTAACGGAATCTCCTTTCTATTACTCGGATTTTGGTGGTGGTCAAACGGGTATTAGTGGTAAATTGACCACTGGTGATGAATGGACCATTGGTACACTTCCGACGATGATGAGCGCAGAACAGCTATGGCATTACAGCTTAACGCGACAAGCAGAAACTCCTGACGAAGAGATCGATAAGCACGAGACCTTCCTGGCTACCGGAACGCAGTGGACACTGCAAACTTCGCAGCCTGTAGTGATGTCCGCCTGTTCTCCTGATTTCTACAATACTGACAACATCTCTTACCCTCACGTCGACGGGTCAACAAGGATCCTCCAGAATGCAGCTGAATTGTACGACACGATGTTAAAGACGAACGCAAACCGTACATACTTTATGTCGTGGACCCAAATGCCTCAGGATCCTACTTCCTTGCTTGCCTTATTCATGGACATCGACAACATAAACGATTTGACTCATTTTACCATTTGTACAGTATCTTCGTTCTGGTGGGATACATCAACTACTTTGTCTCTTACCAGCACGGATTACTTAATACAAACGGAATGGCCTGGGAGCAGAGAAGACATCGTCCAGGATAAGTCGAGACCAATTATCATCGATCTCGAAGCCATTCCCAAGCTATATATCTCACCTAATCAGACACATGATTACTCGAGTTTTAAGCCAGTAACTATCGTGGCGGCATTCGCGTTTGCGCTGTCTTGGGTTCCTGGCCAGTATATATACTCAGTCGACAGGTATATTTCTCAAGAAACGATTGAGGGAATGGACTCCTCTAGCATAAGAGACTCGGCGTCCTATACGGCATTCCGAATCGTCAAAACTATCACTGGCTACGGCTATGGTAGTACAGATACTTCCACCTTACTTTCGCTAGTAGTCATCATCACTTACTGCTTTATCACGGTCGCATATGTCACTTATACCATTGTCACGGGCCACACGTCAGTAGCCTGGAATTCAGCGACCGAGCTTATCCTGCTGGCTCTTCAATCCAAAGAGCCAGACGATCTGGGCCACGTATCTGTTGGTGTCGATTCCACGGAGACGCTTCGCAGGAGCGTAGGGATCAGGGTAAACACTGTGAGCATTCCAGACACAGGGGAGCGTATGCAGAAATTGGAATTAGTCTTCGAGCATGATGTCCAAGACAACAAGAGGATTTTGAAGAAAGTTGAACGGAATCAGGCGTACTAGGGCATTGAGATTGATTCTGAACAAACTGGGTTAACGTAGTTCACTAGTGCGTAGCGTCGATTAGAAACAGCGATATATCCTGCTTTCGGCAGAACTAAGATCCCCATGCTGATAGGCAGCACAGCACTGGACGCGTCCAAGGGTATGAAAACCGTTGTGGGGAATAATGCTTTATCGCGTCTCGCTTATTAGGCTACAGCTTTCATCTACTCAAGTATTGCGCGTTCATCCGTATAATGATTCTACATTATCACTTGCACAACATCCTCACATAGAACAACATCCCATCGTCAATAATCAGAGATGGCTAGCACTTCCCTACCCCACCTTCCAGCCGAGCTGTGGGCCCAAGTCCTCCAAAACGTCGACGATCCATTCTCTCTGTGGGTAACCTGCCGTCAGGTATCGCGTACCTGGAGAACAGAAGGTGAACACGCCTTTCGCACGGTCTTCCTCCCAATCCTTCATATCGAGTGGACTAGAGTTGCATTTGGCCGAATAGCACACACTATCATTGCTATTCCAGACGAGCACTCCATCAAATCACAATCAACAACGCTGTCCCTCGTACTTCGATGGGGTGAACCAAGATCCGAGGTCATGGCCCCAAACCACCCGGAGGATTTCACGCGTGACAAATTCAGGAGAGAACTCGCTTGGATCACTAAATATAACGACTATCGTTCATGGTTATACAATTCGCCTCTTGAGATGAATGAGCAGGCCATTTGGTTTGACACGGCAGACGGGCGATATACATTTGTCGGTAGTGCTGAGACCATCGCATTCACTCCTCAGTACCCTGCTCAAGAACAAGATATGAGAGACAGGCGCCGAGTCACATGCGACTGGAAAGTTTTGATGGATGCGCTCTTTGCGGAAGAAGTGTTTGTGCGGCGAAGACATCCGGGCCCGTCATTCTATGAGCTTGGAGAGCAAGGCATGCATGACATTGTAGCTGGGGAGGATCACCCAATGGAACCAAGGACAGTCCTGGCTGAGAAGTTCAAGCCGCTGTACGCCGCTGCTTTCCAAGAGAGGTTACGTCGTGCATTCAACAGGGAGGGTGTGGATCTCTACACTCATGACAGCTTTACTAGCGTGTGTAATGCGAATCAGCAACTAGATTACCACATTGAGAAAACTGGATGCGGGTGGATGATGAACTGTAGGTTCGAAAGACTGCAAGCTTTCTTGCATGGTCTTTTGAAGCGAGAGAGGAAAAGATGGGACCTGGATATTACAGGATGACAAGTTTACATGAGGCTTGTGTAGAAAAAGAGTTTGACCAAGTTCCAAAATCAATAAACACTCCAATATATGTTTGGTGTGAATGAATTTGACTCTCTATTCTATACTCTACAGCACCACAGAAGGTTCTCTTCAGAGTCAATATAAAACAACGCCAGTTACATCGCGAAAGTGCTCAACCTAACTATGCGGTGACTGGGTGGGTTGCAGCTCATGGGAAGAGGACGTCTCAGTTGGAGCACTTGGTTCTGCCTTCTTCCAAACTGACCCACGCATACTTTCTGGTACCGTGATAGCGAAAACGCTGAGAAAGAGCCCAATGCCACTCAAAATGACGCAGCTGTAGTACACACTTCTATATCCAATGGTACTAAGCTCACCCTGAGGAAGATTCGCGTCTCCATACGTCTTCTCGATACCCTCTGCAACTGCAGTAAGCACAGCCAAACCAAGCACGCTACCGCCGACCTGCAGTGCGACGTTGAAGACGCCGGCAGCAGCACCCTGGTCCGACCTGGAAGCGGAAGAGACGACGACGAAGTTGGCAGTGATGTAGACAGCACCGATACCAGCGATGTACAAGATCATTCCTGGGAATGTGTAGCACCAGTACGAGGTATCTTCGGTGATAAAGCTGAAGAGGAGGACACCGGGGATAGAAAGAGCCCAGCCGATGATGAACTGCTCATACAGTTAGTACATTCACTTGCAATTAGGGGGCAACACCATACCATAGCCCTTGCGCCGAGGATGGGGACGAGGCGACCCGAAAGAGTGTTGAAGATGAGAGCGCTCACGCCGAGTGGGATGAAGAGCACTGAGGTGTGAATGGCACTCGCGCCGTAGGACTGGAGCTGGACAGTGAGGAAGTATGTGCATGCTTGTCGCACGGCATACGTGTTGACAGCAAGAACCAGTGTGAGGTTAAAGGATAGGTTGCGGAAGAGATGGGGAGCCAGGATTGCCTGGGAAGCTGAGCGTTCGTGCAGAACGAAGACAACGAGCAATACAACCGACACCACCAGCGTGGCGATGATCTTGGCGTCGTCCCAACCTTCGGTGTTGGCGGAAGTGAGCGCGTATGTGAGGAGGAGAATACCGGGAATGCCAAGTGTAATACCAAGAGCGTCAAATCGGATCAGGCGCTCCTTGACCGATTGGAAAAGCTTCTTCTTTGGCATCTGAGCGCTTTCATCTGTACCTGCTTCATCTGCAGGGGGTGGTGTAATAGCACGAGGAGAGGGGATGCGTGGAAGAACAGCATATGCCGCCGGAATGACGATTCCTGAGATGATCAAAGAAATCCAGAAAATCCAACGCCATCCTAAGAACGCTGTGGGGACACCACCAAGAATGAGTCCGATGATGAAGCCCAAAGAACCTGCGGCGCCCCAGATCCCAAGCGCCTTCGCCTTCTGCGTTGGATCGGTGAAGTGCAGAACGATGTGCGCCTGCGCTGGAGGGATGGTGAAAGCAGCGCCTATACCCTGGAATGCTCTAGCAACCACCAGTCCTATGAAGGTAGGAGAAAGGGCGCAGACCAGGCTGAATAAAGTGAAGAAGATCATGCCAAAGAGCAGAACACGGCGATGACTAGACTGATGTTAGTCATGGCGACAACGCAGGATCGTGGAAACCAACCCAAAGATGTCTCCTCCGCGACCACCTAGCAAGAGGAAGCCACCAAACGTAAGAGCGTAGGCGGAAATGATCCATTGGAGATCTCCAACATTTATTCCAAAGTCTGTTTGAATGGTAGGCAGCGCAATTGTGATAGCACTCAAGTTTGCAAGATCGAGAAACATCGCAGAGCAGCTGCAACTTTGTGTCAGTCAAGTTCAAAGTGAATGCGATCGTTACTAACACAACAGCCAGGATGAGGTAGGGACTGCTCCCTGCCATGCGATCAGGGAGAGCCTGAACTTGTCGGAAAACCATCATGCGTGGTCTTGAGCTGCAGACTATGGCAAAGGGTGGAAGACAGACAGCTCAAGAACACCAGAAGATATTTACGATATCGTTAGATGGATCGAGCGAAGCGGCGACGGTTTATCCCAGGATGATAACGTCGACTCATCCGGGCTAGCACAGATACGGCGTAGCGCAGGGAGTCAGAAACACAGGGCTATACGGAGGTAGCTTGCCGCGGGCCGTTCGCCTCGATCTCCATCCCTGGCTATGCACCGCAACACCATGGCCCAGACGGGAGCGCCCTCGTACCGCTTCTGCTCCCAACGAACACCGCGTTCTAAATGAATGTTGATTGGAAGCGGGACTGCCAAGTTGTGCGGCCGGTTGGCTTATGCAGGCTGCCACCACATAGGACAAGCTCGTCCATGCTTCAAGTGAGATGTTTTCCGAGCGCACAAACGGCCCATTATTACGTACATCTATACCCATGAGGCTAGGAACCCGCTAAACGAAGTTAAGCTCCGGGAATAAAGCTTAAGTGGTTCAAAAGCTGGGACGGCACGCCTGATTGTCGAAAGGCCGTAAGGGCGTAGATGATGTTCAGAAAGCGCCCTTTTCTACATAGAGCCCTTCTGCCTGAGGCGAAAACATAGTGTCTATTAGAGGATGCGAAACTTCTCATCTAAAAAAAAACAATCTACAACTCGTGCGCTGCAGGACAACAGGCTGTTCTGTACATACTTATGGTGAGAATTCCTGCTAGCAAAAGCTTGATTCTGCCAAGGTATGGGACGGCCCGTCCGATGGACCGGGACACAGGGGTGACAACCGACTTGCTTGGCAGCCCTTTGTCCTGTTCTTGATCTGGTCCATGGAAGTTGATCGCTGATGTCTGAAATGCTTTGAGAGCGAAACTACCACGAAAGACATGGAAAACCCCAGGCTAGAAGACGGTAATGTACTCTCGTATTGCTTTCTTCATCCTTCCACGAAGTTGCCCTGCTGACGCAAGCGTGTAGCAGATTTGAGCATCCGCACTGGGATGACCCATCGAGGTATAAATAGTGCATGGCTCGGCGGTGACGATCACCAATGTCTCAACATATGCCAACCCGCCGAGCCTGCTGTACGAACCCTGGAGGAAACTGCATACCATTGGAGCTCACGCTGCTGACGGACGGAGATGCATAGCAGCTGCAAGTAAGACTCGCAGATTGCAGCATGAGGAGCCACATTTGCCACACGCGCCACTGTTCCCGATTCTCATAGGTATCCACAAACTTCCATCTCCTTTTCTGAGAAAGGAGGAGCGCTTGAGGTTGGTTGCTTGATTTGGTATAGTAGGATGCATGCTGACACAGCCATCCCAATAGTTCGACATCATTCAATAGAGCAAATATTATGAAGGTTGTGATTTTGAGGCCAACGTGAGTTTGCTCATTGTTGAGTCTGGATGACTGGAGTAACTTCTGGTTCAAAGCATGTATTGAGAATAGTTATGCCAGGCATCGATGGGTCAACTTACACTCACATTCAATATCACAGCAAAGCAGTCCGAAGACAACGTCGCTAATGATCGACACCAACTCCTCATAGAAATTTTCTTCTTCAAGCGACTAGCTAACCAGAAGTCTCGATAAAAAGGTTGCGTCTGCCAGGGGTAGTGAAGTACTGATGGTGTTGAGTATGAGTAAGCCCAGTAACTCAATATCAAGGTACACAAATGGATAGCCTTGAAGTGACATGTAAACTAGTCTGAGAAAAGTCAACGTGTGTCCGGTGAGGGTGAAGGGATTGGAATACCACAGCAATCATGCCCTAAGGAACAGGCACTTCACTTGGTCTAAGCCAAACAGCAAACGTATCTAAGGATTGAGTAGAGAGACGGGCAGAGCGAAGCTGATAAGGAACCTTTAGGCCTGTCACACTAATGGTCGCATGATTGCGTACCTACTGATAGCATCGCGCTTTGGCACGCGTAGGTGGGTGACCATGGGCTCTGCACTGAGCTCTCGCCGCCTGAGTGCAGGGTCGGTGTATGACTCCGGCAGGAGTCAGCTGTGGGAGCAGTGGTACGGTTTGATTTCCATACAGACAAGCTTTTGAAAGTATATTGCGATTGTTCCAGAGCTTATTATGAGGCAGTAGACCGAATTGCCAGATTGATGCTCTCCCCTTCTCAGTCATCTACAATCATCGAGCTTTTGACTGGTCGCTTTGCCAAGCTTTCATAGTTCGAGTGACCCTTCTGGTGCTAGGTCGGTCCTCGCCAAAACGAGACTTTAGTTCCTGCTCGACGAATGCAAGCTTCTCTATTGCCTTCACATGGTCCCCTTTCAGCTTCCAGCACCAGGCAAGATGCTCTTCACTATTCAGCGTGTCTTCGTGGAACCCCTTATGGAGTTCCGTTCGTCTATGTAGCACGTCAGCTATCAAGACCTCGGCTTCGTCCAGCTTTCTCTGCTCCAGCAAAGCAAGAGCCAAATTCGATCTCGCTAGCAGGGTCTTCGGGTGATTAGACCCCAAAATATCTTCTGATCGCGTAACAACTTCCCTTCCGTGCCGCTCAGCCATCTGCCACCGTCTGAGGTCGAAGTACGAACTTGCCAAGTTCGACATGCAGGTGATAGTACGCTCAGCATTTGGGCCATCCACTTTCTCATGTAGAATCAGTAATTCTTCTTCGAGAGCGACAACTTCCTTTTTCCTCCCCATCATACTTCTTATCGAATACAAGATAGCCTTGCCTCTCAACGTCTGCATGTGTTCGTTGCCGAGCATTTTTTCCATTCTTTCAACATTCTCGGACTGTAGGGGTTCGGCTTCTCCAAGCCGGTCCAGATTGGCAAGGCATTGTATCCAATCGGTCTTCGCCATAAGCGTTCGCGCGTCGTCAGGTCCGTGGCGTTGCATCTCTCCTTCTAGTATTTCCCGAGAGAAAGGTTCGGCTTTGTCCCACAGCGAGACCGCGCGATACATCTGAGCTAATCTATCCTTACTCAGAGCAGCAAACCAGGAATCGTCACGAAGTTTCGTCCGCCTTCGCTCTAGTTCGACTTCCTCTGATGAAATTGCTTCGTACCATCTACCATTTGCTGCGACCAAGGTATTCAAGATCGATTGCAGAGTCCCACTGAGCCAATTGAACTCACCAATGGTATCACGGACATCTTCAATCTCGCGCCTGTAAAATGTCTCTGCTTTGTCCAACAAGCCCTTTTCTCGATAGTAGTCCGCATGGGGAATGATTGGAATTCGGCCTTGCTCTTCTAGTCTTCCGAACAGACGGTTGCTCGTCCGTTCTTTTCGAAAACGTCGAAATATCATCTCAGCATCTGTGAGGGGTTCTACTGTGAGATTGTGCTTTTCCAATAGTTCCTGAGTCTTTACATCATCTTTTGCTGTGCCAAATCCAATGTGATAGCAAATGGCCAGCTGCACAGACACTTCAGCAGTATCCAAACCAGCTTCCTTACACTCCGCGGGATTGGAATCGAGCTCATGTAGCGTCTTGAAAATTTGCAATCGGAGTCTATAGTCTGACTGATAGTATGACATAAAGGATTCAGTAATCTATTTCAATCAGCTATGTGATCCATGGCTATGGAACGCTTGAATAACCTTGAATCCTCTGGGGTTCGAGTTTGTGTCAATGTTGATAGTCTGTGGAACTAATGGAGTGCTAGATCTCTATTGTAAGCGTTGATATATGCGAACGTCGTTCTAACACACCTCTCGGGGTCTAAGAGCTTCAACAAAGCTGAGAAATCGCATGTGCGCTTTCTGTGATCGAACTCGAGTAGCTTTTGGAAGAAGTCTGAAAGTCTCTGCTTGATAGCAGGGTCGCAAAGAAAGTGTTCGGAGCTCATCCAAGTTACCCACTGTAGTAATGAGTTTCCCGGATCGCCTTTCCAATCATCAATGAAGTTATGGCATTCTCCTGCGAGGTCGTTGAACGATATACAACCTTTCCTCCCATTACTGAGATGTTCCGGGATTGGTAGATCACCGAAACTGCCGTTGGCTACTACTATCCAGAAACAAACAAGACCGTAAGAGTACATATCCATCTGCATAGCACGGAGAGGGGTGAAGCCACCATCGTGCCAATCGGGAGCATACCAGATCTTTGAGATCGGCATCCGAATTGAGTCTGTTTCGGCTCGAAAATAGGTCGAAAACCCAAAATCAGCAATGCGTGGTACAAATACGGTCGGGGTTTGTTCAAAGATTAGAACGTTCTTCGGTTTAAAGTCCCCGTGTATAATATCTTTGGTCCATAAGCTTGATACTCAAATATCAGGATAGGTCTTACTGTTGTGGTGCATGTCGGACATAGCAATGCCCATCTGCATGCAAATTTTGAGTCTCTTTTCGAGGCTCAAAGATTCCAGCGCACCAGACTTCGCGAAACTGGATAAGTCTCCCAGTTCGGTCTTTTGGAAAACTAAAACCGGCCAGACATGGTCGTCTTTCGACAGTTCCCAGCAAATGCCTTGTAATCTTACGATATAGGGATGGTTCTGAAGATACTCATGACCCAAGACTGTCATTTCATTGACAATAGCCTGCCACACCGCCTGTACCGCTACAGGGTTACGCTGCAAGCTTTTGAAGCGTTTAAAAGCAAAGCTAACGATCACATCGACGAGCGACTGACTGATATTCGCCTGACCACCTTTTGCGCCATGCTCGGAGTCGTGAAGATATCCAAGAGGTTCCTGCCAACTTATAGGAAGCTGGTCAATGTTCAAGCGTTGAGCTATACCCAATATGGAAACGAGATTATGATTGGTCGAAGAGGGCGTCTGGGGAATGACCGACGCAGAAGACAAATCGATTGCCTGAGAAGAACGGCCCGACGCGGTGCTTGTCATCTTGTGCGCCGAAAGTGTCTGGATGAAAGTCGCAACCGTTTCAACTCCAGCGGCCTCCCTATATAGTGAGTCCGAACTAAAGTGTCGCATTACATCATACAGGCGCGTAGCGCTAGCACAAGAATGTACAATTCAGCGTTATGCGTGACTGGTCCAGAAGTCGCCACGATTCATGCTGCATCTGCGCGATTTCATGATCGTGGTTTCATCTGCAATATTACTGGTCGGGCTATGTGCCTTCATCTAGCAAGCTGAATGTGCAAGATGCAGCTAAATCAATATTGAGACTCCGTGTGCAGATAACAGTCTCATACTTCTTTCACAGCTTCATTACTAATCTCGCCAGATACCCAATTCATACGTATGTCGTAACCAGGGCGAAACGAATAAACAACTCAGTTATCATCCTCATACATCAGACGTATTTCGCTTGTCCTTGGGACGCCGCATAGTCTGGGTCTTGTCCCAAACGTAGATAATCAAAAACGTCCCAAGAAGCAATACTAGAGACAACACAGGATATATCCAGAAGTTTTCCACAACATGGAAATCAGGATGTTCAGTGTCCTTTGGACTCTCTTTCGAAGACTTGAACTCTACCAAATTACTGCTAAAGATAGTCTGAAATGTATGTCAGTCGTTGTCCAATGCTTGAGGGAGGACAAATACCGCTACAAGCGAAGCAGGAAGGTAAAGCATTGTTATTATCGTTAGGACCTTTATGATGCGGGAGTCCTTCTGCGACTTCGTAGCCAAAAGTGCCATCGATTTGTTCTCTTCATGTGCCGCTGCCGCGATGATTCGCATATTTTCGCCGTTGTTAACGATTTCCTTGTCGTTACGAAAGTCGAGCATGTGAAAGAGCTAAGAAAAGATTAGTTCTCGGTTCCATGTCAGAAGTCTCAGGTAATCTCACGATGTTGGAATCATCTGCTGATGAGTCTAGAAGCCCTGTAACGGAGCGTAAGTGAGCCCGCAGCTGCGCCTCGTAGCTCTTGAGCTCGGACGACATGGTACGACTATCTGTAGACATACATTCCTGAGTATCTCTACAGATTAGTATGTCTTCGTATCCACTAGTGACCTCTAGTCCGCCTGAAAGCGCAGATTGAGCTGAACGGAGTCGTTTGCGTAGTAGTTGAATCTCTTGACAATCTGAAAACGTTACTGAGAAATCTATGTGAGACTTCTGATCTACCCTTGAGAACAAAGCCTTTTGTTCCTGTTTATTGCGTTAGCCGTTTCAGATATCTTCGGGCAAACCATTGGAATTGATATACCAGAGAGCGTAGTTGGCACTCGAGACCATTGATGTAAGACCTCCAGTTGCATGCAGAATTGAATAGTAGAGACATTCTTAATACCGGAAGTCGTACATCTAATAGAGATCGGAAAGGCGCGTTTGGCTCAAAAGAGCATATGGTGTCATAGTCTGCTTTCGACGGCTGCAGAATGATCCAGACTGTCGAATTGTCTTCCGCTTTATGCTTTTGATAAACAGCCGTTTGTCTCATCGACCACGGATCGGAGATTGCTCTTCCGTGCTTCATCGGATAGCGCATGTTGTACATGAACTCTGGATAACACATTAGTCATTACAGTCGAAGCATCGCCATGTGGAGAATGCATTAGAAGACCATACCGAAATCTGACCGTCCTTCTGCCGTGTTACTCTTTTGCACGCAAATTCGTTTGCGATAGCAGTGGAAGTCTTCATCTCGAGAGCACACTTTGAATCCGAAAGCAGACAGGAAGTCTAGAAATGGAGGGAAGACGTTGAGCCACGAAAGGAGCATCCGCAAACTGTTGTACGTGATGTTGAAATGTGCCCAAGAGCAGTCTTGCCTCAGAAATCTAACATTGTCAACATATCTCTCAACAGCCACTGGAATATCATCGCATACATGAAAGTGTGGCTGCCTTTGAGTCTCTGTCCCTGGTCAATCATGTGAGCTTTTTCCCAAGCCGTTAAGATAACTTCCTTTACCTCCAGGAATGATTGCATCTCAGATTCAGTTCGGATATTTCTCCCTTGCTTTCTATTCCAGTTGTGTCAGCAAACGCTTGGGTATATATACATGGTTGTTGGAGATGATGACAAGTAGATGTAAGCTAGGTGTCATTTACATCATGTTGTTTTTGTCCTCTTGAGTCCAAGCGATGACTTCCACGTTCATATCAGTATCCTTACACAGCCGATCTTTCTCTACTTCCAACGTGTTCTGAGTTTGGCGAAGATTATCTGCATATTGCCCGTCGTGACACTGACCATTTTTGCTGTGAGGCCACATTCCAGTTGCATTCATATCGATAGACATTACAAAGCAAGGCAGGACTGGATAATATGGCTGCTGATAATCTCTGGGAGGAATTGGTTTTCATTCAGGAAGGAAACGACGATGGACTAGGTAGAAAATGATGAATTACAATGTTGGCGTTGCGAAGGTCGCAAGGCTCAGAAAATGCGAGGGAGAGCCCCCATATATATCGACAGGGAAGCCACTATCGCGATCAGAGATTACCGAGGCGTTTCTAGGATAGGATAAGACGAGTTATGTAAGCTGCGTTTCGTAACAGTCTGTAGCTACTCTCATCACAAAACGTCTGCCAGAATACGCCTTGTGAAGTGAAAATCAAAAAAGGAACTTGTCGCGTTTCGTTCCGACCTGAGCGCTAGATCTATTCTGTTGCCTATTGACACTTTCTAAGGACCGGTGTAGGTAAAGACCGCAGCCCTGGTCCCACTGTTATCCACCTACGTCATGCAAGCCTCACTTTACCAAGCCTAGGCATCTCGAGCAGGCTTACGGAACGATTTCTGGTCCTCCTACATTAAAAGTATCATTATATGTATCATCAATATGTCGAAAAGATTTGACCAACCTCGCTGATGTTTTCAGAAGCGGTGAGACGAATCTGCATTCCTTGGTTCTACCATGTGTTAGTGATGTTGACTGAGTTCCAGGTGCGAGCTGAGGGTAACCATACCACTGTCTCGTACTGCCATTTTCCTTCCCCGAATTTTTCGTTACAATGACCCACAAACTTCTTTAGATCTATATAGCGCGCATCAAGAATCTGTAAAGTTGGCATGGCTGTATTTGCACGATTTCGGTTTGTGCTAGCGTGGGAAGAACGCGGCAAGACGAGGTGGATGGACCTTGCAAGAAAAGAGTCGGACAGGAATCGAGTCATGTCATCTTTTTTTAATACTGCTCTATATGCAACTAGTAGTCTTGCATGTTGGTTTGAGAGCCTTCGTTCGAACGCATTCCTTGCGAGGCATATGTGGAGGCTGTGTTCAGCGCAGACTGTCGCGCCCTTGTGATTGGATCCAAGTACCTTATTGGGTCGCATGCCCACCGGACATGCCAGCGCATCACCACAGAAATCAAGAACGACGTCTCTGGGCCTATCACCATTGGCGTGCATCATGCATCTCAATATATCCAGGGAGTCCGGTGAAGGCACATATGGTTTTGATCTGCGCTCAGCAGGAATGTGTCTTCACCGGTCTCGACACGACAACTTAGTGCTACAGAGGCACTATATCTCGCTAGGATATGATTCATGTCGCTCTTCTGTTACAATCATACCTAGGTAGCGCCGAGTTCTCTTCTCTTTTTGGTGAAACGCAGGCGCATGCGACTACGGTTCTCTTTCAGGATGGCAGAGTCAGCATCCCATGCGCTTAAGCAAAGTATCGACAGTGACAGTATCACCGTTGCCAACTGGAAAGGCGATCGTTTCGTCAAATTTGATCCCTTTCGCCAATTGCTTACACAGTCTACTCTAAGGGATATTTTCCAGGAACGTGGTGTAGAAGTCTATCACATAGACGAGGCTATTCGTGCCGTCACTTCCGGTGGACATCGAGTCTTTGGCATCTTGAACCGCCTGGGTCAAGAGCACGCGATACTGGAAGTACGAAAACACACTGACAGCTACCTGGGCAAGTCCCTAGACGCGAGTCTCCCCTATGCGACAGAATCCGAGGTTGAAAAAATGCTACCAGACCGAGACTTTTACCCACAATTCTACAGAAACTTCTTTGATGCTCAATGGGCTTTTTCTTCACCTGTTTTTCACTACGGACTCTCACATCGCAAGCTTCACGACAAGACTGTACTGCCCTTCACTGCTCTCAAAGAGCTTACCGAAAATAAGGGCGCAACAGCCACGGTGTCTCGCGCAGAGATATGCGCATCGCATCACACCTTTAAGGAGTCAAGGGACAAAACAGTGAGTAGAAACTCGGCAGACGCATGAGTGGTGCAGTGTAAACTCCACTGACACAGCACAGGTTTCTGTAGTTATCAAGACAATCAACTTCGGCAACGCTGACGACGATGACTTCAGACATGAACAACACATCTTGTCACTCCTTCGCGCTTTGCGTCATCCAAGCATAATTGAGTTCTTCGCAGCATATTCTCTTGGGAATTGCTCGACGTTCATATTCGCCCCGGCAGAGAGCGACTTACACGATTGGATGCGGAAAGGGGTTGAATGTGTCTGGTCCGTATCCGAGATACTGGACGGTCTACGCGGTCTTTGTTCAGCCCTCTGCCATATGCATAACTACTTCCTGGGATCCGAAGATGTGCAGAAGATTGGTTGTCATTACGATATTCATCCTCGAAACATCCTAGTCAAGAACCATTCGATGATACTATCTGATTTCGGACTTTCCAGGTTGAAGACGCTCGATCAAGGCTCGAGATCGGGATTCGTAGGCGGTGTACTTGACTACTACGCTCCAGAATGTCAAGACTGGGCGCGTAGTTTCAAAAAAGGTCAAATTGGAAGACCGAGTGACATTTGGTCGCTAGGCTGTATCATGGCTGAGATTGTTACCTTCATGGTGCAAGGCTCTGCAGGTCTTGAAGCTTTCGACAAACAGAGAACATACGGACCATTCAGCACTTTTCATGCAACAGGTGCTGAGCATGATAAAGTAACCCAGTGGATACGCGATCTAGCTCAAAAGACATCCTCGGGTCAAGTGCGGGAACTTGCGAGTTTGATAGAAACGATGCTTTACATTGATCAGCAACGCAGACCAGCAGCTTGGGACGTGCTAAGTCGAGTCACCTACCTCTTCCATCAGACCACATACGATACCGTGTTGGGCCGTTTCGAGAAGCTCACGCAAAACACGGGTTACAACTTCGAAATCGAGTTTGAAAGATTCAAGATATGGTCAGAGCATGTCGGACTTGCACAAGGCAATCAAGATAGCTCATGCGCCCCCGACGTCTATCTTCGTAGGGACCACGATATCTTGGAGAGTGTGACCGATCAGTTGAAGAGCATTCTCAGCATTCTCAGTAAAGAAGTGGAATCGAGCGATCAAACTAGAGACGACACTGGGAACAGAATACTCTACACCGAGCTTCGAATTCCTATTGATAAGTTGTGGTACCTTGAGGAGTCGAGCTCACAACACATCATGGCACGCAAATTAGAGAGCATCATCCTTGGTCGAAGCCCAGAAGCGGCACTGAATGCAAATGGTATCGATAGGTTTGCTAGGCCACAGCTGCTACTGGTCATACAACAAGCACTCAAAACCATCGACGAAATCCAGCAAGTATCGCCGAGCAGCCTGCTTGTAGAACATACCAGAATTACTCAATTCGAGGAGTGCGAAGAGTATTCGCTGGGACAATTCACAACCACAGACGGAGATCAACATCCCAGCATCACAGAGCTATATTACTATGATGATGCATGGATAGATCGCGCCCATGAGCTCGTGACGCGTGTTCAGAACCTGGTCCTTCTGTTGGGTCGAGACGATATAGTCTCCAACTTCCCAGTCCTCCGTGCTCTTGCGTTCTACCATATCCCAGAGAGACAGGCGTATGGCCTGATATTCGAGATGCCAACGAGTATCGATATCCGTGGGACCAGGCAAGCCCCCCAAACCTTGGTACAGGTCATTAAGAGGGCATCTCGTCGTGCGGAAAGACCATCACTTGATGATGTGTATGCTCTCGCCTACAGGATCTCAAATACGATACTTTCGTTTCATAAAGCGCGATGGCTACACAAAAGCATCTCGGCTTACAAAGTCATCGTGTTTCCACAGAACGAGACAGCTACTCCAGAGTGTCTTCCTTCCGCTCGTCTCCTCGGATTCCAGTACAGCCGTGCAACTGATGACAGCTTCACCGTCGGACCACCAAAAGCTAAGAAGGCGGCAAGATACAGACATCCCCAATATCACGAGGGAATCTCCAGGTTCGAAGAAAGGTTTGACTACTATAGTTTAGGAATCGTGTTGCTAGAACTAGGAAGATGGAAAACCCTAGATAGCATGCTCAAGAACATGTCAAACATGGACAAGAACACGTCACCACTGGAGATCAAGCAGTATCTTTTGCAAGAAGTGGTACCCGATCTCAGGTCCCATATGGGTGTGGGCTACCATCACGCAGTTCGGGTCTGTTTGGAAGGGTTCGATACGCAACGAGGACTCTTTGATCGGCTGGAAGTGTGGAAAACCTTTGAGAAGGAAGTGCTGAGCCACCTTGCAACAGGCTTGGTAATACCGATGTAGGCGCAATACATTTACGGCCAATGACACCAACAGCCAATCTGAATAATCTGATCAATCGAAGGTTTACAATGAAACTCCGCTGAAAGCTTTGGAGCTCGGGAAGAATTTTTAATCCATAAAAAGTGTTTGAGAATGCATTACTATGGTCCCGGCTAGTGTCCTTCTGGTCGCGCGTAGCAGTGGCGATCGAGTGAAGTTCCCTTCTTCAGAAAACGAGACTAAGGTATCATCCCTGCCTTTTCCTGAACTGCTTTTGGATTCAGATATCACCAAAGACTCTGGTTACCAAATCATCACTGAAACGTCTTCCCTGAGCGCCCCGAAGCTAGAATAATGGCGATACTCTTTCCTTAATTCTCCTTTGGCCGTTACTACATATGTCCACAATTAGCCGCCTACTTGAATGATATCCTTCTCCCGTACAGCACCTGACCACAAGACACCAAGAGTTTGTATTTCGTTGTATTGCCTCAAAACAGCATGCGGCCTCGTCGCATGGCAGCTACTTCACTCATCATAAACGCATCCTTACTCAACTTCCGTGCCGCTTCAGGCACAACGCATCATTCCGAGTCTCGACTTCTTCCCCCTTGTTACGCCCCGCACTAGTTGCTGACAATTTAGCCCTACTATGGCATTTACCATACGGAAGCGGGGTGCATCACATCTCACACAGGTAATACCTTCTCGGGCTTCGCGAACGTTATGTGTCAATTCAGATAATGTCCTAGATCAGGATGATATGAACCCTGCACCGAAGTCGTGCCGACCAGGTGCCGCGGTTATGACGAAGCAATTCCAGTGTCTTCACGTTGGAAAGACACAAGAACGTTGTAGTTACATCAGCCAGATAAGTCGATCCAAGACACAATCAACGTTACTGGAGATACTATGTGTCTGTCGTTATATTGACCCACAACCGCATGAAGCCTCCTCACACAGTAACTTCTTCGGTCATCGTATACGCATCCTTACGTAAACTGCACGCCTCACCTCGGGCAGAACGCGATATTCGTTGTCTTACAGTAACCGCTCCAACGCACAGAGTTAGTGCCCCCATGCGTGTTCTGTCCGTGCACTTTCGTTTGCATGACCCCGGCTGGGTCGCAGTAATCGTTACGTCCTGGACAATCGCCCCGTTGATTGCGAGAATTAGCAGTGCATGCTGGCAGACAAGCATAGACGGTTGCTGCAACAGTACCCTGTCGGCTGGGGCAATACAATGACATGGAACCACAATTACAACCATTACTACAGGGTGTAGTGATCTCACCAGCTGATCTTGTATTGGGATAGGTGCCGTCGAAAATCTCAAAGGTTGTGTTATCAGCAGATGACGGTGGCGAGAAGTCATAGACTGCGAGGGGGACGGGTGCGGCTGACGGAGGCAGTTTGGCGGCTGTCTCATTGCGAGCCGTTGGATACCCTGTGGAATCCTGGACACAAAGACTTGGATCGTCCCATGCTGCACGGGCAGCGTGATCCCAAAGTTGCGTCATATTGTAGATCGTCCCGAGCGTGTAATAAATACGACAATCGGCAGCCTGGTATTGGAACTGCAATGGTGTGAGCTCTGTGCCGTGCACTTGGTTCCTAATTGTCAAACCGGCGTAATTGATCCACATTCCTCTATCCGTGCGGTTGGGTAGTTGCGAAATTACTTCAGGCTTGTCAACTGGCAGATACCTCAGTCCTTCGTCGAAATCGTAGTCGAGTGCGTCAGCAGAGTATGCGGCTGCGCCGCGAGTGCCGCTGACTGCTTGCATAGGGCCAGGCTTCGGCTGACCACCAACGACAATGGTTTTGACTCCAGCTTCATAGGTCATGAACTCGACAAAGATAGCGCACGCAGAGGCGCAGAGACCATCAGTAAGAATGACTATGTTTTCAGGAGCCCAAGGTGGTGAAGTGTTGGCTATAGTGTCGGCTGGATCGTATCCATATGGATAGTCTCCAAATGCGGAATAGTCGAAATTCTCATCGGACAAATTGTATTGTTGACTTCCTGAAAACGTATCGCCATTACCGACCTCAGGGCCATAGAACTCCTCCCAAGATGAGAAGGTCTTCCCAGTAGCAGCGTTGATGCGGTTGGTGACGATCCACTCGCTTGATGCCCAATTGTAGTTTTCAGTCTGGTTGTGACCTGACTGATCCCACCACTCTGTATAAGCTTCACCGAGGATATTGCTCAATTCGTGACTGCGTTGGCGGCTTGCACCATTGGGATCAAGATTCGGAAAGAATTGCTTGAATGTATCGTAGGCAAGGAATACAAGACCTCCAGAATTTTGTTGCAGATCGATGATGACACGGGAAACCTGACTTTGTGAGGCGTTGCCGATGAAGTCGCGGATCGCTTGCCGAAAGTTGGAGGTGTCTACACCGTTCTGGTAGAATGAAGGTATGCTAAGGACGGCGGTGGATTTCTCATCTAACAAATAGCTAGATACGATACCTCCTCCTGCGATAGAAAGATCGACTTGAATGGTCGTGGGGTTATTTGGGTATGCGCCAAAGCTGTTCATGCACCAGTTTTGGCTCGACGTAGCCCCTTCGTCACAATAGCTTTCCAGTACCGCTGTGAAGTTGAAACTATTTTCGCTGTCATTGGTCGGAGGGGATACTTCGTCTTCGATGGTTGGCCACCACTGCTCGCCTTCACGATAACTCTCTGGCAGGAACCCGAGAACAAAGTAATTGTAGAAGTCACCGCCGGTGGTGAGAGGTCCTGTCTCCTTACAATCGACGCAGATTGCCCACCAGATGGTCTCGATGACAGTATTATTGTGGAGTGTAAAATTGAGCGTATCAGAGAAGTTCTCGTTCCCAGGGTACAGCTTTGCCGATTGAAATGTACTCGGAATACCCTGGATGTCGAGTGCAGGGCTGTCCATGATCGCGTTCCAATCTGCATGTGGTTCTAAGAAGCCTTGAGAGTTCTGCTCGGCGAAGTGTTCCAGATATTCGATCACGTCAACCCCGTTGATGTGGGTCACAGGCGATGCTTCGTATTCGCTCATGGCCCAGGCTTCGTACAAGTCCTGATCCAGGTAGATTTCCGGTGCTTGTTTACCGTCAATAGACGCACTGACAAGTCCATATGAGCCGACAAAAGAGAATGCTGACAGAGCACCGGCGTTGAGAACAACGTGCGTGTCACGTAGCTGGTTTACTAGGAGCTGGATCTGTGCTTCAAACTCGTATTGGTTCTTGTAGACAGCCGTAGTCACGTTCTGCTTGATCTCCTCTAGGGCTTCGTTGACGTCGAATGGTGCTCGCTGGTAGCCTGCGGGTGGCGCTTTGAGATAACCCAGTGTGGACTGAAATTGTAAGGTCATATTGTAGTAGTCGAGGAAGCGCATTGCGACGGCTGGGTTGAAGGGTATGCTCTGCAAGCACTCGTACACCCATGATGCCTGGAAGTATGTATATTCTTTTCCGTCGTTTAGCCGAGATCTTCTTCTCGATAGTATAGTATGGTACTAACCATTGTTTACAGCGATAATGATATCGCCACATGCAGTAGACACGGCTTCCTCAGAGGCTGTAGAAGGCTCAACTTGCCGTGGGGCGAAAGGGCCCTTTAAAGGTTTGGCCCACCCACATGCCAACAGGCACAATACAGCCAGGAGCTTAACAGAAAACATGACGAGTGACTAGGAATTCCTGACCAAAGCCGGTTGTGTTGATAGTAGACAGAGTGGATCTCTTTAACTTCTTAACTTGGGTGAGAACATCTTGTGTAATTTCATGAAGCTCACTGGCAGGGATGTAAATCAGTGGTGTGCATTTGCTTAGCCTCCACAAAGACTCCAATAATTGCAATAGTGCATGAACGGCAGGCCGCCAACGATTGTTAACGAATGGTTGAACACTTGCTCCTGCCAAGCCAAGAAGCCACCAGCTGCCACAGGCACGGCGAAAGGAAAACTGCAGGGGAACAACAGACCGTGTGATATTCTGGGCTTTCCCTGAGATCGCGCTAGAGGGCTGATGGTCGATGTGTGGGTGCATACATGAAGCACAAGGCAGTCATCTTACGCATCAGCCGCACTTGGCCCCCACACGGCCTGCTGGCTCATTCCGCTCGCGAAAAGTCTTCGACGGGTTAATTGTAGCAGCGCAACCCCCTGCTTCGATGCATCTGAGGTCGGCGGGAAGCCAGCTACAAGTCTGCACAGCCCTGTAGCTAGCTGAGTATTCAGATGATAGGTGGAAGTTGAGCAACAGAAACCCTCCGTCGACCTGTAGTTCGAAGAGCAAACACAGCCCCGATCGCGGCCCATCGAACGAGTTGTGAACGCAGCTGAGGCTCGCATCTCGTGCGACGAAACCTTCGTCCAGTCATGAGCCGAAATGTCTACAATGCAACAGGGTGAAAGGAGGCAAAAGAGGGCAGAGAAGAAAAGGCAGCGACTTCGAGGACTAGGCAGATTTGCATCTCAAATTGGAAAGTGCTGTATACAGTCTGCCAACGCAACGTTACATGGTCAGACGTGCCGGCTGGCACACGGGATGTGTGGAGATGGAGGACGATGTCTATTTGTGGGTTACGCGCCGGGTTAATTGACCGGCTGCGTGACATAAGCCAGATGCATGGTCATAGAGGAGTGGGGCCGACCCACTGGACGCCTCGTCCGTCCCGACTTTCGAAAACAACATCGACAACCCTCAGATAACAGTGCTGAATGGGTAACAATTTCCTTACGAGGTGGTCTAGAGTTTTATGGGCCCTTTGAACATGTCGGGCGCCGTGGGTGAAGTCGTTCCAGATCCTTTCGCACCGCAAACGCACGTACTACACTCAGCCTTGAGCCCGAACACATTACATGGCAGCGAATATGATTTCACCTTATTCGACAACTTCTTTGCATCCCCAGCTTTCTGCGCATGGTCATCAGGTAGTAGATCATGGCAACTGCATTGCTATGGAGAGCCTGGATGTGGCAAAGTGAGCTCCCAAGGATCTGGCAGAGCACATTGCTTACCATGACAGACAACTGTAGCTGCCTTCGCTGCCAGACATCTACCATCTAGCATAAACGGGGTCAAAACGACTGTCGCATCGGTATCCATCACTCAACATGTGTGGTCGACATCATTGGATTTCGTTGAGGATCTTTTCCAGCTCATATACTCTGAATTTGGCGCTGAACCTAATGCGGAGTATGAAGCATATCAGCTTGCGTGTTGTTCCGGAAGCCCAGGAACTGAGCGGATCCAGAAGCTGATCGGAGCCTTGAGTAGCTTCGCTTCCAATGCTTGCAAGTTTATCATCCTCGACGGATATGATCGCATCAACGAAGCATTACAGTCGGTTGTCGATATACACTTGACCGCTTTGGAGCTCAGCAACTTCAAGGTGATGATCACACGGAGAGTTCCAGTGTTCTCCATATTTCTCAATAAAACATGCGACAGGTGCGAGCAGGGCTACATGGAGCTCTGGTGGGAATGTTCAAATTGCAACATGTTCGATCTGTGTTATGACTGTGAAGAGGAGGAACATCTGGAAAAGTCCCACGTGTGCCCAGTAGATGGTTTCATAGAACCTTATCAGCATGTTAGCATCAAGTTGGGGTACTTCAACATCGAGCACTTGCTCGAAAAAAGACTGAGCATGCACTATCTTGACATTCAACTAGAGGATACGAATCGCGTCGTTGCGTATATCAATTCGAAAGCTGGTGGCAACATAACGCTTGCACTATTGTATTTGGAAGATATCTTTACCCGGGATGATATCGTCACGTTCAGCGTAGATCGAGTCGACGACAGGCTGCCTAGGGATGTTATTGCTTATTTCGACACGGAGATGAACTTCATCGAACGGAAACCAAAGCCTGAGCGTTTACCTCCATTGCATGCAATTGCTGCGGCTGCAGACCATCAATACGGAATTTCCCTGGAAGAACTTGAACACTGTATACGCCTTGCTCAGAGCACCTGTTCGAGCTTAGATTATCCCAGATCTGTTGAAGACGTCTTTGTTGCAGCAAATGGTTGGCTTACAGATCTGCGCACCGGAGACCGAAAATTGGATATATGCTGCAAACCTGCCTTTCCTCTATATGTGAGAGAGAAGTACAATGATTCGCTAGAACGGGCGAGGCGCCAAGTCAATCTTGCGGCAAAGGAAGGGTCTGATGCTATCACATCACAGCAGTTCGAAGCGTTCCCCTCACCATCCGAAACACCTGATCTCATAGGGGGCACATTCGATACGATAGCAAGCGGAAGGTCTCCCCCGACTCCGTTGATGAGCCTTGAAGACGGCCTTCGTATCCGTGAACTCGACGGTACATTTGATCGGGCGACATTCCTCGGCAAGGACGAAAAACTGGTTCAATCTCCACCTAGACTCAACAGCGCTGAGTATATACCTAAAATGGTTCAGGGTATTGTTCCGGTCCGTCAGTCTGAAAGAAAAGTCGCGCAAATGAACACGGCATTGAGTCAGCCGCCGATACGAGTGTGCGACTTTTGCGTCAAGAATGTGTTAGATTCTGCTACATCCTCCGGTCAGCATCGTCTCTCAATGAATGGTGCCAGTTATACTTTGGATCAATGCACATTTTGTACTTCGCTCTACAGTAGCATGAGAAACTCCTTGCTCAACACTGAAAATTGGCCATTGTATCATTGGACCCTCCGAGCACTACCACGCGGCAGAGAATTGAGAGGATCGATGATGTTGCGATTCTGGTCTTCTCATCCGACACTCACAACTAAGTCCTTTCGACTCCTACCAGGAACTGATCTGCATGTGCCTGCATCTGAAGATCTACCAGGAACAACAGATGTAGACCTTAGTGGCGGGACTCAAGTTAACAAATGGATGGAAACTTGCATGCGCGATCATCAAGGCTGCAGTAAAGCCTGGCACGCCCAGCGTTCCAAACCTTTCTTTCTCCCAACACGACTTCTGGATGTTGACACTGGAGATGACGATGTTATCCGCTTAGTAGATACCCAGATAACCAAAGCCAAGGGACCTTACTGCACGTTGAGCCACGCGTGGGGACCACGAGAGAAGCCGTTTCTTACCACCACCGTGTGGAATATGGCAAAGCATCTAATCACAGGTATCTCCCTAGACGAGCTTCCAGATAACTTCCGACATGCGATACAGGTGACTCGCTTCTTGAAGGTGCGGTACATTTGGATTGACAGTCTCGCTATCGTGCAGGAACCTTTTGGTGACTTTGCAAGAGAGGCCAATCTGATGCATAAAGTTTATCGATACTCACATTGTAACATTGTTGCAGCGGACTCAAAGGATGCATACGGCGGCCTCTTCAGAGACCGTACACCTCATGAGATTCTTCCGGTCAGATATCATGGTACTAATGCATCTCATCATTTGGGGACAAGAACTTGGACGATTGTCCCAGCGGATCTTTGGGAAAAGGAACTTCTTAACTCCATCATATATTACCGTGCGTGGGTGTTCCAAGGTAAGCAAAGCTCATCGCTTCTTGATATGTTTGCCGCCGCCAGACTATCGTGATTTACTAGGAGCTGACTTCGTGTAATCAACAGAACGTATTCTCTCTCCTCGCATCCTTCACTTCACAAAACATCAAATCTTTTGGGACTGCGGTACGCTCTCTGCCTGCGAGGTGTTCCCAAACGGCCTTCCCTTCCCTCTCGATCACAAAGCAAGCACAGATCGACATTGGAGAGGACGGCTAGTCGGAAGTACTGTCTCATCCAACGCCTTGACTGGTGTTAACGATAATGAAAGCTCTTACACTTTCTGGATGTCCGCAGTACAAAACTACACGGAATGCAATCTGACTAGTCAAGGTGACAAGACTATCGCAATCTGGAGTATCGCGAAGTTGCTGCGCGACGTTATGAGAGAGCAATACGCCGTGGGCATGTGGTCTGAAGCGCTCGAGGAGCAAATGGCCTGGAAAGTACGAGAAACTCAAAAATGTGAGAACATGCCAGAGCTCGATGCCAGTATTCCTAGCTGGTCATGGGCAAGTGTAAGAGGTTCTATCGTGCCTCAACACCGGCTGGCATTGCGATCATATACAGTCACGGATCATCACGGGGCTATGGTCAAATTCACAGTCGATGGGGAAACTAGGGAAGGCGATAAGGAGCCTACGTTAGAAAGGAAAGCGTTGGAACTGAGGACTCACATCGGCTTCGGTCGACTGATAAGTGTGGAAGAGGACGTATATCGTCTCCGAGTCTTGGGCGAAGCCTCCAGCGGCCCCATCGAAATGGACGCCTTTCCCGATGCTCCACTTTCAACTACAGCAATCGATCCGCAGCAATGCGCATTCATGATCCTTGCCGCATCGGTCACTTCGAACAACACCAGTGGCCTTCAATTAAGCCTACCTTCTTCTTCCGAAGCATGTCAGACGTACTCCGGTATAGGTCTTCTCCTCATCACGCACTCTGCCTGGTTTTCCAATCAGGAAAAACTACACCATGAATACAAAAGCGCGCTATCAGGCTTGAAGCCATCTCGAGAACAAGAATGGCGCCTAGATGCCTTCTCAAAACTCATGTCCCAGCAGTCAGAGAGGATTATGAATATGAAGGGGAACATTGCAAGCGTATATCGGCGGATCGGAGCGTTGCAGTTTCGCGATATAGACGAGCAAGCCTTCAAATCCTTGATAAACGACCAGAACCTGGAGAATATTTGGTTAGAGTGAAAGGTTTATTTGTGTAAAGCTCACGTCCATATCTTCCAACACTAGGTTTGGGTCAATATCAAATAATTCCCATTCCGTCAAGACCAGATATCTCTCCATCTGAACCCTACTTCTTCAGACGAACCTCTCTTCCATCATCGCATCTGCAAATTTCCACCGTCAACACCCCTTGCTTGTTGCTACATGTATTCGTGATCAGCTATCGCCCCGAATGATATCCTCCTCCCATGCAACGCCCAACCAAAGCTTGTCCTCGTTACCAGGTTCCAGCTTGTCGAAACTCATCTCTGTTCGTATCGAAATAGGAAACAACTCATCGATCAACGCTCGCATACCTGCGTTGAACATCTTGACGGGTGGGTCCTCATCGTCATCCATATCGTCATCTACCAGATGCGACTGATAAAGGACCTTGATGAACGAATCGGCTCGAGTGCGACCGTAGACTTAGCAGTTTTATAGCGCGACAGCAACATTGTACAGGTTTGTATGACACTGGGACCGATCGCGACACTATGAGGTCTAAAATCGACACGGCTGCGCCTCACTCGCCTTTGTTGGTCATAGCGATCTGCGGCTGACATGTAGGGCTGCCAACTATGTTACGGTCAAGGATCAACAGGCATCCAGTTTCGACATGCGAATACATGCCTAGCTGATTGTTGCCTAATGTTGGCTGCCTTGCTGCGGATAACAAAAGCACGCACTGGAAACGTATTCCATCGCCAATCTGATCTTTTAAGCAGAAGTCTACCTTTCCACAATCTCTAGCGGTACGCATCGACTCCAAGTTACGACCAAGCGATATGGCGCGCCGTTATCAGGCATTCAAAGATCGTTCTACCATGATCGAGCCCGGTACAGCATCCTGGGATGTGAGCATCAGCGAGGCCGATTTTACGAAGCTCATAGCCGGTGTCGAATCTCAAAGTATGGAGGATAAATGGAACGTCTGGAGCGAAGAGGAGAGCGCTGGCGGGGACATGCTCATCCACTTTGCTCGAAGCTGGACAGGCCAGAAAGTGTATATACTTCATTTGGAGGCGAATGAGGGTGACGGCAATACCGGAGGAAAGATCAAAGGTATCACCTGGGCGCAGAAGCTAGGAGAATACCATATCTCGGAGGAGCAGGGCAAGAGGGACGCGACTATCATAAGCAGAGCTCTGCTCGGCTGCAAGGTCGAAGCGCTCCCAGAGTATGACACTGATGATCTCTACAAACCCGCTTCGACGGATGCATCCAAGGAGCGACAGCGACAGGAGCAAGGCAACGGTTCCGGAAACAAGCCCCCTGTTTGATGTCTGAATGTTGGGGATGTCGCTGGCGTGCATGGCGTGTGCGGCGTGTAGCGGATCACATTGCCAATTTCTACCGACTGGAGTTGGTTTAGACAAGGGTCTAATGTGGGTCAAGCGTTGGAGAGCTCGCTTGGACGAGCTTTTGCGGGGATAGCAACGGGTTAGGGCCGGTTGGTGATGGAGCTCTATCAGCTGTATCGAGGGTAGTAGATAAAAGGCTCTGGAATAGTATAAGATGTGATACCGCTCTTCCCAACTGTATCCTCTTACGTAGGCTGTTCTGACTGTTTGTTGTGGCAAAGCAGCTACTGTTACGCGTCGCGTCTCCCCGCATTCGAGCTTCGAGCTCCCCGCAGCATCATCACACTCTGCGCCATCTTTCCTCCTCTAATAACAACAACAACACCGGCAACGACCACGATGGCGTCGCTCATCCGCAATGCTGGACGTCTTCGAGCCCCAGTTCTTGGTGCAAATGCTCGTCTAGCCCTAAAGGCACCAATTGCATCACGGAGACGATATGCTTCGGCAGCAGCAGCGGCCGTTGCAGACAGCGGAGAGCATTCCTTCTTCCCAGATGAGCCCCGACAGCCAATTGTCAAGACGGCAATCCCCGGCCCAGAGAGCAAAAAGGCCATTGAGAGACTGAGCAAGGTCTTTGACACCAGGAGCTTGAACATGATGGCCGACTATTCCCAAAGCTATGGCAACTAGTATGTTTGGTATGCTACCAGAAGTGAACCGAGACTGACACGAATCAGCATCGCAGACCTCGACGGCAACGTCCTTCTCGATGTATACGCCCAAATCGCCTCCATCCCCGTGGGCTACAACAACCCCTCCCTCCTCCTGGCAGCCACATCCCCCGAGATGGCCTCTGCCATCATCAATCGCCCCGCGCTTGGAAACTTCCCCCAGCACGACTGGGCCGACATTCTCGAGAGCGGTATCCTCTCCGTAGCTCCCAAGGGCCTCAACCAAGTCTTCACCGCCCAAGCCGGCTCCGACGCAAACGAACTCGCCTACAAAGCCGCCTTCATGTGGAGGCGTCAACAACAACGCGGTGGCGCCTCGGCCGATTTCTCCCAAGAAGACATCGACTCGTCCATGAACAACAAAGCCCCAGGCGCCCCCGACATGTCTATTCTATCCTTCAAGACAGGCTTCCACGGTCGTCTATTCGGCAGTCTGTCAACCACACGCTCTAAACCCATTCACAAGCTCGACATCCCCGCCTTTGACTGGCCACAAGCCCCCTTCCCGGTCCTCAAGTACCCCCTCCATGAACACGAGGCAGAAAACGCAGCAGAAGAGCAGAGATGTCTGGACGCAACAGAACACATCATCACCACCTTCCACAACCCACCCGCCGCCGTAGTCATCGAACCCATCCAATCCGAAGGCGGCGACAACCACGCCACACCAAACTTCTTCCGCGGCCTCCGCGAAATCACCAAGAAACACAACGTCCTCCTCATCGTCGACGAAGTGCAAACCGGCGTCGGTGCAACGGGAAAGTTCTGGGCCCACGAACACTGGGGTCTGAGCACGCCACCGGACATGGTTACCTTTTCCAAGAAGGCGCAGACTGCTGGTTATTACTTTGGCAACAACGATCTCCGACCCAACAAGCCGTACCGTCAGTTCAACACTTGGATGGGTGATCCTGCGCGCGCGATCCTCTTCCGTTCCATCATTCAGGAAATCAAGCGCATGGATCTGGTCAATAGTACTGCTGCCGTTGGTGACTACCTCTTCGACGGTCTCCAGAGGCTGAGTGAGAGGTTCCCCCAGGAGATTCAGAATCTGAGAGGAAAGGGCCAGGGCACGTTTATTGCGTTTGATAATGTGCGAAGGGATGAGGTGCTGAAGAAGGCAAAGGGCGAGGGTGTCAATATTGGTGGGAGTGGAGAGAGGGCGGTCCGGTTGAGGCCCATGTTGATTTTCCAGAAACAGCATGCTGATTTGTTGCTTGAGAGGTTGGAGAAGGTATTCTTGTCATAATCTGGTTATAATGGGTTGCAAGTATAGGAGTTTTTTTTTTATTGGCGTTGGTACACTTCTATACAAGGGGACAATTCTTTTGGGGGAATCAACGAGTGCACGAGGTTTTTCCCATCAACACAGGCCACGAAACTTGAAGACGAATTGACATGTCAAATATGATGCCGTTTACAAAGCTTATTTTGAAATGACTTTTTTGGAATTCTTGTCTCTCGTTTTGCTCGTTCATTCCATGCATTTTCGGGCCCTTTCCCCCTTCCTCCTCCAACTCCAAGTCCAACTCCAACTCCACTTCACTCCAACCCATTATCTATGACAAAACCCCAACAAAGAAAGAACCAAGAATGAATTTGGAATAGGCGACCGGCTTAGGAAGACAGATGGGGGGAAAAAAAAAGAACAAGAGCAAGTCCAGCCAAGCCAAACCTCGTGGGGTATCAGAGTTGTTCCAAACAAGGGAGAGACAGAGAGAGAAAAACCACCCGCTAAGTAGACAGTTCAATGAATCAACAAAACGCCCGTCAACAAGAAACCGACATGGGGAATGTGTGTGTGTCTGCGTGTCTGTGTGTAGTGGGACATGGTAATGAAGCGGGCATAACAAACAACACCAAACGTTACTCCGGCCTGTCCAGATTAATCCTCAATCGATATTCCAACCCTTCCTTCTCACAGTACTCGCTCAGGAACTTGAGGCCAAAGCGCACAGCCTGGATAGGCGTTGTATCCGTGGCAAGGGGCAAAAAGTACGGACCAGACATGCGCGCGCCGCTAATCTTTTCTGGTTCGCGTGCGAGGCGCGCATTGGCTTCTCTCGCTGCATATGTCTTCTTGTACAGGGATTGCAAGTCTTCAATCGGCAGGGCAATCCTCGCGTCCTGGTAGTGCCGGTTCATCTTGATCGTGTGGTCGGCCAGGAGTGCAAAGTTCTCAGCGAGCGAGTTGTGCTGGCGTGTTACGTCTGCGTTGTTCGCGGCGTCCTGGGGGGAGTCGTGGGATACGGCTGACTTTGGGTTCTGGCAGCGTTGCGAGACGTGTGTGCAGATTGCGGAAGCGATGATGGAACTGAGGTATGAACGTAGGCCGTCGAGGTGTTGGTGGTCTTTTGTGCAGCGGCTGTAGGAGAGACAGAGGGGGAGGAGCGTTTTCCAGGTTTGCTCCACTTCTCCCGCGCGACCGCGGAGGTTGAGAGAGAGGTCTTGGGCGGAATAGGCGGCCATGTATGCACTTGTCTAATTAGCAAAGTTTGTTGACAAAAGAATGAGGGTCATGGACGTACAGAATACATTCGAGATTTGTCACCGCAGCTCTCTTCTCGTCTTGCTTGGAGATTTTGCTACCGCCTGTTGTGAGGATCTTAGTTGCTTCATGCTTGAGGGCTCTTCCCATCTGATTCAGCCTCGCAGACGTCTGTCCCAGGAGTGAGATATCCGCCTGCTTCTTGTTGTTAAGAGGGGCAGATGTAGGACCAGCCTTGTGCTCCGTCTTTGCGCCCGCTGGAGTTGCGCCAGACCGGCCGGGCGTTGCGTCATTAGTGTTGCTTTCGGATGACTGACTTCGTAACATGTTGACTGATTTGATATCCTTCTTAGGGGTGGCGTACTGATTCTGACTCTGACTCTTCTGTGCACTCGACTTGGTGGATAAGGCTGGAGAGGAGATATTTTGGAGAGGGGTAATGGGCCCTGAGCCTGC